CTGCAGGGAGGCTTTTGCTGGATAGCCTAAGGCAGAGGCTAGATTAGCACCTCCCTAGAGATCCAGGAGCCAATGTACCCAGAGGTCAGAGTGGGACCATCCAGTTTGCAGCTCCGTGGAAACATAAAGGACACACCCAGGGGGCAGACTCAGTGAGCACCAAAGCCCCATTGAAGCAAGTCTTGCCCCAGAGGGGTGTCTCCAACACAGAAGTTCTCCCACTGCAGACACAGCTGATTCTCACAGCCAATTGGCCTGGAGGTCAATTCCTCCCAGTGATACCTACAACATCAAGTGAATAATCTGATGAACAGAATGAACAGGTGATTATAATAGAATCAGGGGCATAGAAAGGGAGTGGACTGACTATTCTTGGGGGGGAAAGGGGTGAGGGGGATTCGGGAAGAAACTGGACAAAAATCGTGCACCTATGGATGAGGACAGTGGGTGGGGAGTGAGGAAGGAGGGTGGGGTGGGAACTAGGTGGAGGGGAGTTATGGGGGGAAAAAAGAGGAGCAACTGTAATAATCTGAACAATAAAGATTTAATTAAAAAAAATAAAAGCAATGGAAAAAATATCTTCAGGTGAGGATTAAAAATAATAATAATAAACATTAAAAAAGAAAGTTCTTTCTTAGACTAAGAAAGATAACGAACCACCCCCACCTCCAACCAGCCTAGACTCTTACATATTCTCAGTTCGTGAGGCTTTGGGCCTCTTCTCACCTTCCACTTTCTCCTCTGCCATGACAGTATGACACAATGCGAGTGAGCGGAAAAACAAGTGCACCCAAGGATCTCCCCTTTTTACTGCATCCACCAACGTCTTGTCATAAAATGAAAACTTAGGATCAGCCAGTTTGTTGTAGCTGAAGCTGACCTTTTCTGTTTTCTGGAACACATAAGCCAGAACAAACTTCTCAGCAGCAGCTTGACACTTTGTAAAAGGTCAATTTGGGAGCAATTTCTGTAACGTGATAAGAACGCTTAGGAAGATGGGAAGAGAAAAGCAAGATAAATGGAGGAGACGCTGTGCTGGTTCCTAAGGCCTTTTTAGCTCTGACCTGGACCACCCATTCATTTGGGCCAGGAAGATTCATCCCACAGGAGACAAGCTGAGCACTGCTTGGCAGACCCTTCTTACTCCCTTTCTCCCCCAGCTACCCCGAATGATCAATGGCCAGCTTCAGTCTCTACTCTTCCAAGTCCCAAATCCATGATAATCAAACCTGAGGACAGGAGGGGACAACTGTGCACTATTAGTAAATGGTATCTGGAAAAAGTGTTGTCTGTGGCTGTCCTCTGCCTGATTTGGGGAGCTGGGAATAGAACTGAGTTCTGATATCACTATGGTATCAGGTGAGTGATATCACTGTGTTACATTATTCTGATTTAACTCCACAAGGGCGCTAGAGAAGAATACTGCAAGATAGAGGCAAGCCTGCATTGCAAGAACTCTTCAGTACATACCACTTGTTTCAGATTTCATTTTAAACCATTTTACTTGACTTGCCAGCATACCTGACTCCTTTCTGCTTCTAACCCACATGGTCCTTGACTTTGCTTCAGTCTTTGGACTTAATATTAATTACCATTTTCCTGGCTATGACCTTGGTTCCTATAGATAGACATGCCTCTCATTCTCCATTTCAGCGAGGCTGCTGGTAGCCACCTTGGGTAAACATTTTTTTTTTCTTCCTGGTTTAATTTGACCCTGAGGCTCTTTCATCTCCTGGAGTGTGATATTAACAGATTTCTCCAGTCCATACTAGAACTCTCAAGGATATTTCTCCAGTTCTTTGTAGTTGTGGTACTACTTGGGCTGGGATCCAATATGTCAAGTACAGACAAACACAGTTGTCCTGCTGATGCTATGTTGGGGTAAGGGGAGTTTGTAGTGAGCTATATGGGCTTTTTTTCTATATCCCATATAGAAAGAGTTTTGTCATTGCAGTAAGGAAATATGGTCAGGTCCAATGCCAAGCCCTAGACCTGGCCAACCACAGTTATAAACTCTGGGAAGTTTGTGGGTTCAGTAATTTAAGATAAATCATTATATAGCATCTTCTGAGGCTTTTCTAGAATTGGGTTCTTGTACTGGCACATTCTTTAAAATTAGAAGCTGGTGAGTGATGAGAGATAAACTGAAGAGGCAGGCATGAGGCTGATCTGCATTAGTACGTGAACAGGCAGTTCACAAAATAACTTTAAATGGGTAATAAACTGATCGGGAAGGAAAATAAACATAAAAATGGTTCAACCTGATTAGTAATCAAAGAAAGGTAAATTAAATGAGATATCATTTTTCACCAATTAAATTTCTAAATATTAAAACACTGTTAATAGCCAGTATTGACAAAGATAGGGGGGAAAAGGAATTTTCATATATTATATTTTGATTATATTTTGATGTAATCTATCTGAAGGGCAATATGGCAATATTAAAATGTGGCTACCCTTTGATCAACCAATTTCACTTCTAAGACTTTATTCCAATGACATATTTATCAGAAGAGGAGACAAAAATGTGTGCATCGGGTGTTTACCACAATGCTATTTATAATAGCAAAACAAAATGGAATAAAAATAGGTCTTGTTAAATTAAGGTATATCAATATAATTGGATACAACACTCATTCAAAATGACGATGCAGACTTTAATGACGTGGAAAGAGGACCACAATATAGTGTTAAGTGAATAGAAAGAGGTTGAAAATAGCCTGTATGCTATGATCTTTTCTCCTTTCCTCCCTTTCTCTCTTTCTTCTTATCTATCTATCTATCTATCTATCTATCATATCTAGATTTATATATATGTGTATACATAGGAAAGCATATGTTACATTGGTTACCTAAACTGGATTAAATGATCTTAACTTTTTTCTTCAGAGATTTCTGTATTGTTTGAAATTTTTTTAAATTGAGCAAAGATTTTTTTTTAACAGAAATACCGCCCCCCCATAAAGCCATTTTCATTTTAAAACACAAACCCAAATCTCCTCAAATAAACATAGGTCATTTATATAATGCTTTCTATTATTATGGGGCCAATAAAAGCTTTAATATTTCTGGGACTAAGGGACTCCCAACTTGTGTTAAGATGCTATTGTATACCAAGGCCTCACTCAGTTCCCATATGCATTGTCACAGGGAACTGTAATCACTCACCTCAGAGATTTCCACCCTCTGTCCAAACCTGTCATAGACAGCACCTGTTAGCAAGTAAAAAGAGCAGAGACTTGACAAGGGTTTTAAATAACAGTTTAATGGTTTTTTTTTTGTGGTAAAATATATATAACATAAAATATGCCATTTTAAACACTTTTAGTGTACAATTCAGTGGCATTAATTACATTCATAATGTTGTGCAACAATCACCATTATATATCCAAAACTTTTCCAGCATCCTACACAGAATCTCCCCATTCCTCCCCATTCCCAGACCTAGGTAACTTCTAATGTACTTTCTATAAATTTGCCTATTCTATATATTACAAAGAATCATACAATATTTCCTTTTGTGTCTGGCTTATTTCATTCAGCATAATGTTTTAAAGACCATCCATGTTGTACCATGTGTCAGAACTTCATTACCTTTTTTTATTGTTGACTTTACTTTTTATGACTAACATTCCATTGTATGGATATACCACAATTTGTTTTCCATTCATCTGTTTATGCACACAGGAGTTGTTTCTACTATTGGGCTATTATGCATAGTACTGTAATGAGTACTAACATATATCTATCTGGTTGAATTCTGTTTTCAATTTTTTGGGGTATATACCTAGGAATGAAGTGACTGGGTTATATGGTAATTTAAAGGAGGATTTTTAAAAGCTTTTTTCTTTTGATTCTATCATCCTAGACTTGCAGTCAAGCTGCCTGGAATCCACTCAGGCCACCTAGTCCTCAGTGCTACAGGAAGCTTCCTTCCTCAAGCCAACAGTAAGAAGAAGGTATCTGCTTGGGTCCCAACTCTTATTCCTTAAATGAGAGTGAGGTGAGGCTGGAAGTTAGTCACTGGATCTATGAGAGACTTCATACCTCAGGAAGCCCTCCAATCAGAAAAGTTACCTAGGAGAGATTTGAAAATAGAACTAGAATGTTTAGGATCTAGGTCAGTCGATAGTACAGACAGAATGGGGGTGGGAGACGTCCTGAGGCCAAGCACAGAAACACCCATGATCCTTTTCAACCTTATCTAGTATATGGTATGGTCTTACAATAAGCCAGAGAATAAGATCCTCACCCAAATCAATTCATCCAAAAATAAACCTTGTTTGACAGGGGTAATAAGAAATATTAGAGTGCTAGCTTTCTTTTAAATTTAAAAATTTTAATTATTTTTTAGTTGAGGAGAAATTCATGTAACACACAAATAATCATTTCAAAGTGTACAATTCAGGGGCATTTAGTGCATTCACAATATTGTGCACCTACCACATCTCTCTAGTTTCAAAGTTTTTTCATCATCCCAGAAGACATCACACAGGCTCTAGCTTTTTAGATGTGATTGCCTATCTCTGCTAGTTAGTGCACTGGGCATGAATGTTCACATAAAAACAAGCTTATGCTTAAGGCATGAAATAAATGAGGAATGGGGCATGGAAGATACTGAGCAAACTCTGACTACACTTTGATGGCTTCTCTCAAGATTGTTTATTGGCCTAAGGGAAAATCCAGAAATTAGCAGCTTCAGTAATATGCTGATTTCTCTATCTGATTTAATATGAGTGTGAACTAACATTCCAAGAAATCAGAAATTCCTTGGGATAGAGAATAAGTTTGTATATCTTGATATTTCCAATGTCTAACATGATGGTTTGCATCTACAAGGTACAAATTAAATACTTTTGAATAGAACTGAATGGGCTAAGTGATCTTTACGTTTTATCTAGTGAATAGAGAAGGCTATGAGAATAAGAGGCAAATGTGAATTTAGAGCTTGATTATTCTTGAAAACAATCTGTAAAGTAGTTCTCTAGGACTCAGGAAAAACAAGAAGACATGCATACCATATAGTCTCCCATAGATGGAACACTTGTTGAAAACCATGATGTTCCTAGTCAGGGTCCCTGTTTTGTCTGAGAACACATATTTGACCTGGCCGAGCTCCTCATTAAGAGTGGTGGTACAAGCCTGTGCTGGTGTGTTCTTTGGTGCATAAAACATCTTCTGATCGCAGTTGATATAGAAACTGTTGCCCAATCTTATTATCTCAACACTAAGGAGAAAGCAAGAAAAGAAGGGTCCTGGATCAGAGTAGGACAAACAAATACATTATCCTGGTTTCCTTACTAGTCCTGTGGTAGGCCAGGGCCAGCATCTGAAAATCATATCAGAGCATCTTCCTTGGGAATTTACAATCAATCTTGGATCACAGGACCCTTGCCACCAGCCAACCCATTGTAATTCTGACTTTGACCATTATCACACAAGGCATTACCATCTGGATCCAGAGATACTTGATTACTTTTGCTGGGCATTTCCCTTTTCACTCTTTCTTCTTCTAAAACATACCTAGAAAAAGTCACAAATTTTGAACTTCCGCAGTCATGCAAGGCCTGCAAGAGCTAATTTATAGAAGGCTTAGGCTTCATTAGATGACTATTGCTGCTGTCATGTAAACCCATTGGTGAGGGAGAGAGAGAAACTTGACACTCAGAGCTTTGTTGTTCAGAAGAAGGAGGGAAGGATCAATGAAAATTGGAAACAGGAGAAACCAAGATGGTGGCATAGGTAAACACCGGAAATTGCTGCCTCCCACAACAAATTCAAAAATACAACTAAAAGACAAAACAGACATCATCCAGAACTACAGGAAGGCTGGCTGAGTGGAAATTCTACAACTAGAAGGAAAGAGAAAAGCACACTGAGACTCAGAGGAG